TTTTTACATCAATCTACACTCCATACCCCATACTGACACAGCAAAACCAGATTTATTATAACTTTGCAAACTTATTAAAAAGAAAAAACCTGAAATATCGCATTGACTTAAATATTCAGACCCTTTGCTATGACACTTGAAATTTAGTTCAGGTGCGTCCCATTTCTGGATCATCTTTGAGATGTTTCTACACTTTGATTGGAGTTAACCTGTAGCAAATTCAATTGATTGGACATGTTTTGGAATGGCACAAACCTGACTATATAAAGTCTAACAGGTGAAAATGCATATCAAGCAAAAACCAAGCCATGAGGTTAAAGGAACTGCCTGTAGGTTTGTGTTGAGGCACAGATCTGGGTAAGGCTGCAAAAAATTTCTGCTGCATTGGTTCCCAAAAGCACAATGGCCTCCATAATTCTTAAATGGAAAAAGTTTGGAACAACCAGGACTCTTCTGCGTGGTCAAACTGAGCAATCAGGGGAGAAGTGCCTTGGTAAGAGTGGTGACTAAGAACCCAATGGTCACTCTGGTTGAGCTCCAGAGATCATGTGTGGAGATGGGAGAAACTTGCAGAAGGTCAATCATCACTGCAACACAACACCAAGCTTAGCTTTATGGCAGACTGGCCAGACGGAAGCCTCCCCACTTGAAATTTGCAAAAAAGCACCTAAAGGACTCTCAGACTGTGAGAAACAAGATTCTCTGGTCTAATTAAATGAAGATAGAATGTTTGGCCTCAATTCCAAGCGTCATGTCCGGAGGAAACCAGGCACCGTTCATCACCTGCACAATACCATCCCAATGGTGGAGCATGGTGGCGGTAGCATCATGCTCTGGAGGTGTTTTTCAGTGGCAGGGACTGGGGCATTGGTCAGGGTAGGAGGAAAGCTGAATGCAGCAAAAGATGCAAGAGTGGCTTAGGGACAACTCCTTGAATGTCCTTGAGTGGTCCAGCCAGGTCATCATACCCAAAATGACTTGAGGCTGTAATCGCTGCTAAAGGCACTTCAACTAAGTACTGAGTTAGGGGTGTGAATACTTATATCAATGTGATATTTCAGTATTTTCTTTTTAATAAATTTGCAAAGTTATAACAAATCTGGTTTTTGCTTTGTCATTATGGGGTATGGAGTGTAGATTGATGTGAAATTTTAAAGCTTTAATTAAAGCTTTAATGCACTGTATGTATGTATGTATGTATGTATGCATGTATGTATGTGTGTGTGTGTGTGTGTGTGTATACAGTATATATTTTTAATATATTATATTTATTAAAAAAAAATTTTTTTAGAATAAAAACTGAAGTCATGTTTATTATATAAGGAATATAACATGACAGGGTGCATTAGGAAAATAGTCAACTTCAACCTCCGCTTTGTATCAGACTGCATAACACTACCCCGGCCCATAGTTGACTATTTTCCAATAATATATTTTTAAGTGTTTTATTCCTCTTATACCACAGCAATTTGCTGTGATTACAATGATTACAATTTTTTTATTATGTGATACAATTTGTCCTTTATAGTCACGTTTAATGTTGTGGAACGTCCATGAAACAAGTTAGTTCCTGTTATCACTTACAATATAGCAGCTATAAACGTATAAGTCATTCTCTCACTAGCTTCTTTATTTTTTCTCTCTTCATGTTAATAAAACAAAAAATGCAGCTTGTCAAGTTACCTAGAAACCACAAAACCCTCCATACAGAAGACTTGTGGACTGGCAGAAAACCTAAAGTTTTAACTCTGACTGTTACAAAGACTTTCAAGATTGTCTTCTTACTGAAAACATTTACACACATTTTTAAAATCAGTTTGTGTAGTCACTGCAAAAGTTGTTACTATAGAAACAATTACGCATTAGAAGGAGTGCATTAATCAATCAGAATTGAATTAGTGCTATGGAATAAAGGTATACTAAACGTTTGTACCTTAAAATCCCATGTTACTGAGTGTATGGCATGATGCATTTTATCATTTTTCTTTGTATTCCAATAAGAATATTGGAAAATTGTACCAGAACTAAGCATAGATTTGCTAATGAAATTCAAAAGCAACAACATAAAGTGATATGCATTCTTATCGCTCAGCTGAAGATGAGATCATCGGTGTGCGTTATTGCTCTGCTGGTTCTGGTTCTGCCTGGCGTGCAGACATTTGTGCCAGTAGGCAGTGGCAACACGCATGTGACCATCACCGGCAAAGCTGTGATGAAAAAGATCCATGAAGTATGTGAGGCGGTGGCTGAGTCAGAAGGAAGACCATTTAAACCATCAGTGAGTATGCTTTTGATTAAAATTTCATTCTTTCATTATTCATTCATGAGTTAAACTCTGAGTGAGCAACTTTTTCATCTCCTTTTCTCTTGTCATCTTTGTCATAGGGTTCCTCTGCGGAGGAACTGCTGCGTGCGTGTTTGGGTACAGACACTGGTCAGGTGTCAGGTGCCAAGTTCCATGAAGCCCTGAATCAGATTTACATGCAGAATGGACTAGTGGATCGTGACTATGCGTCCAGTAATCCGCATCACTTCAGCAG